GATTGAAGAAATTTTAAAATACAAAAATAATTCTATTTAGTGAAAAAATATATATTTAAATTGATTGAAAAAAGTATTTAATAAAAAAAATTAAAACTTCGTTTGATAAATTTATGTTACATATAACCTAAGGTAACGTCGGTACATATAGAAATAATTTCTATTTAAATTGATTGATTATTAAAAATGTTAGTTAATTAATTAAAAATAATATATGATAAATTAATATTGCATAAAGTCTTGGTAATGTAGGTACATGTAAACTTTATTAATTTATAATACATTACGATAGAGAAGCTATACGTTAGTATCATAAATTGATGCAATTGTATTATTATTTATTTATTTAACATTTATTGAAAATGCAATTAGTTTATCATCAAATATTTAAAATTATACAATATAATAAAGAATAATAATGCTAGATATCATAAATAAGGATTAAGGTGCAAACAATAAATTAACACAAAAAAGAACAATAATAATAAAAATAAGCACATTAATTAACAACAAGCTGTATGAATAATAAACTAAAACTAGTAAAATTTTACATAAATTACAGCAAGACTTCTAATTTTGTCCTATTTATCCTATATTATTATTTGTATTTTACAAAGAATAAAGTTTAGGGTCTTAAATGAAAAAAACTAAAAATTGTTAGTTGGATGAGACCAAAAAAAGTAATAAGGAAAAATAAATAGTGCATCATTTACGTAATCATTTGGGGTGAATGGAAATTATATGCTATAAAATCATTTCTAACGGCTAAAACATTAGTTAAAGGGAATATATGGTTGCTAACGGAGCACAGTTGGATTTATTTTATTCCGAAAGCAAAGCAGCAAATGATCACCACCTATTAGTTTTAGCAAAAATGGGCATAACGTTGGAAAATAATATATTACAAAAGCCTTGGTTCAATGATGTCCACTACCAGATCTTAGGCGCTATTCAAGTTAGATAGTGATGTGCATCTATGAATGAGTGAAATACTGCAAGTTAATACAGCTAAAAAAAATCAACGTGAAATAAGGAAAGGATAGCCCATACTTTTGCTGTTAACCAGCCTTCCTCAATGCTTCCGTAAGTCTAAATTTTTTATTTTTCTTTCTCCCCTCAAAATTCTTGAACCCCTTTCATGGTTCCTCTCCCCTTTTATTTTTAGAGTTTTCATAAAATGCTAAAAATATGAAAATTTCCTTTTTTATATATAAAGTAACATTAGTTTAAGAGTTTAATTATTTGTAATATTTCATTTTTCTTTTGAGAATTAATTCTAAATTTTTTCTATTTTATTAAGATAATTTTTTATTTTTTCTTAAAACCCTTTGTTTCTATTCTTCTTTTGTAATATTAAAATTCAGATTTTTATTTTAAAATAAAAAAAATTTTAAATCAAAATTTTGGTGTTCACAATTTTGTTAGTGTTCATGTACTTTTATTTCAAAGAATTTCATATCTCTTTCGACATTTCCTTCTTCAAAATTGTTTCAAGCACAACTCAATTAATTGCTTGAAATAGATTATTTTTATTTTTAGGTGTGTAAGCTTACGTTCCTCCAAATTCTTCTTCTCGTTCAATATTAATTATACAACTCATTCTACTTGTTTGAAAATTCTTGGATCAATAAGATTTCAATATTCTTTCAACCTTAAGAATTAATCGGAGTAATGTCCAATGATCCTAGTATTCATTCAATTTTGGAATAGTAGGTTCTACAAGTTTCCAGCTTGAAGTCTATTGCTTCTTGCTACAATGAACCTAACTCTTGATACTAGATGTTGTATTAAACTAGTAATGTTCAAAAGAATAAAGAAAGGTAAAGTGCTTTATCACTTTTTTTTAGCAAAATGAAAAGGACCAAGTTTATAAACTTAGCTCTAAAATTATTTACTTCTTAGAAAATAGCTATTAGAACAATGATAAAAAGCAAATAGAAATAAATAATTAAGTGATATAAAATATTTATACTAAATGAAAATATTTGACTCAACTAACATGCATCACAAGTATTCAATTTAATTTTATTGTAGAGGTGTTTAGTTACGCATAGTTAATATAAAAAAAATTAAACAAAAAAATATTTATTATTTTGAATATAAAGGAAAGAAAACTCCTATAATAGAGAATATTATCATGTGTTTCTTTGAGATTTCGTAAAGATAACACTTAGAGTAAAAAAGAAGGATAATGTATGTGGAAGATGAAGGAGTTTTGAAATGGAATGTTAAGATTTGAGCATAGATAAGAGAGATCTCTTGTCAACAATTTTCCAAAATCTTTATTTTAAAATTTAAATTCTAAATTCAAATATAATTTTAAATTCAAAATTTAGATTCAAAATTATTTTATTCTTTACTCATTTTAATTATTTTTCTTCATAATTTAACACATTTAACTCAGTTGCATTGCAATTCATTCCTAAAATAAAATTAAGAGAAACATTCAAGAAGTAAAATAAATTCTAATAAAAAATACGTTAATTTTTTTTAAAATAAAGTGTCAGAATTACAAATTATTAATCTTCAATTTAAAATTACAAAATTAATCTCTAATTTTAACACCTATTTTATTCACTTTTTTACATTTTCTCTCTTTTCAATAGTACCTCTAATCTTATTTGTAAGAAATAAATATTTAAATCACCAATACCAATAAAAAATAATCATGTCATAAATTTATACTCTATTTTAAAAATATTTATAGTATTGATTGGTATTTTATATATAAAAATATATAAATGTGTCCACATGTATAAATAAATGGTAATTACTTTGTTAACGTAAATTATAATAAATAAATATTAATATTATAACAATTAATACCTATGAAAGCGAGTCATTATTTTTTTTTATATTTTTGACCAAAAAAAATATTGATAATTTTTTCGTACAAATGAGATCAATAAAAAATACTAATAGATAATGAATTAATTACTTTGTAGTTGTTCTAAATTAACTTGTGATTTTGAATCAAGTCCTACTACTAAATGCAGCTGTGTTAATTACTTGTTTAAGATTATTGTACAAAATTAAAAAATACATGAAATTATCTTGTTTTTATTAAAAGTACTATCAAATTTTATATTATACCCATTTTAGAATTTGTTAATGAAATAAATAAATAAAAATATAAGATGAAAAATGAGTTTTGAGATAATAATGATTTTAAAAGTAATTTTACAATAAAAAATAATTTTACTTTAAAATTGTAAAATAACTATTATTTTGAGAATAATAAAATTAGATAAAAAAAAACTATTTTAAGATATAAGAGTAGTTATATGTCAAAAAATTATACTTTATTCCAAAAACATCATAATTTAAATTGGTGATTTATTAATAAATGAATAAATGTGACTGTTGTACAAATAAATAGTGAATACTTTCTTAACACAAATCTCATAATAAGTAATGATATAAAAATTAATACATGTTAAAATGGATATTTATTTTTATATTTTAAACCAAAAACTATTAATAATTATTTCTTATAAACATGATCAATGATAACATATTATTTAATTATCATGCATATAAACGAATAAAATAATTATAACACTACTATAAAATTATCATAGTAGAAATAATATTATAAAATATTTATTTATAATGATATAATTTATTATATATATATATATATATATATATACTGTCTTTTTATAATTATTCTATTATAAAACATTAAAAATTATAATTTATATTTTATATTTTTTATAAATTTACAAATTACCAGTCAGTTATTATTTTTATTATATTTTTCAATATTTTTTATTACTATAACAAAAAGATATTGTATTATTTTTATTTGTTTCTACTACAAATATTATAATAAATATAAATAAAAGAGTAATAAAAGATAATAATTAATTTGTTATATAATAAACTTAAAATATTGTATTATAAGTAAATATTTTATAATATTGTAATAATATTTATTTATATGCATTATAATTGAACAATTAACATATATTATAATTAAAGAGAAAAAAATAATTTTATTAATATGCATATAATGGGGCAAAGCAAACTAGTTTTGTTCTTAAAGTATTTGTTGAATTAAAAGTTTATACTATGTAATTCTTATTTGTAAAAGTTTAAATTAATGCAAAATTATTTGTTACGTATCAATGAACAAAATAATTAATGTAATATATGAAAGTAAAAAAATATTATTATAGAATATAAATTGTTGAATTATAATTATATATTATTTTAATTTTTCAATTTAAATATAATCAAATTATTATATTTAAATTGAAAAATTAAAATAATATATAATTATAATTCAACAATTATATAAAATATATGCATATATTATAAAATTATTGATAATGCAAAAAATAATATAATTTATATTAATATGATTTAATCGCTTTTAATATATTAAAATTATATTCTAAAATTTTTTTATCGTATCAAATTTGTGTTTTTAAATATTTTCTAATTTTTAAAAAGGTTTTGGGCATGGTTTGTCGTTATAAGTTGGATACTCAGTTAAGAAGGGGAGAGACATGTATTTTTCATGAAGCTTATATTATGTAAATTTCACAAAATGCGTGTCTTTATAATACTGGTTAATTAAATATTTACTTGGGGAGAGACATATGTATTTCATGGGCAGAGTATAGGGTAATAATACTGATTATTTGAATATAGAAAGTATAATCCCAAAAAACGTGTATCAGAAAAAAGAAAGAAAACAGAACACTGCAGCTTGCATATGCAGTCTCTTAAACGATAAATTGTTCAACTTCTGATCCTGGGTTCTTCAATTACTTATCGTTTGCTCAAAAAGCATGCAAATTTAGAACTGAATCTACAACATGATCCTCAATTTAACGAAAGATAAAACCTTGTCCGGAAATACATCTTGGTTAGGAACTTAGGAACATTCAAAAGGGAGTAGGAAAGGTCTCCCAAAAAGTACAGAATCTAACCCCTTTTTTCTTCCTTATTACAAGTAACTTTACAATGACCACAGCATCTTTTCAGTAAATATCACATCATTCCATACACCCTTAATAACAAATTTACAGAAGATGTAATAAACATCAATACAGTCTTGGAGCTTCCATTGAAGCTATTGTCAGAAGAAATCTCTTGGGAAATCTTATTTTACACATCTAGCAGTCCAACCAAAATTTTTCTACAAATTCGTTAGATTCACTAATTTCAAAACTCCTATTCCCAGAAATTCACCTGCTGAGCATTAGTTTCCAACCTATTTAGATAATCTACAGTAAAAGAAACAAAACATACAAAAAAGAGTAGAAAGGATACAGAACAAATTCAAAGAATTGGTAAAACCTTATCTCATTAATAACCAGGTGTGTACACTTGTTCAGATTATATAGAAAATATAATCAGAGAACCTCCAAATATGAAACAAAGAAATCTACACTAGACAATCTCTAAGCCATATAAAACACCAGCGTATTTCACAATACTGTCACTGCTTTCATTGTCAAAGTAAACTTCTCTTATCTTCTCAAAAGCATGGAGAGTAAGCAAGCTATCAGAACCTGCTTGGTGGCTCTTCCCAACGACACGGTCCACATTCAAAGACTGGGAAAGCCGGTCCAAACCCCCATAGAGGTTCGAGCAGAACCGCATCAAATGCTTCACGTCAAATACCCTGTTCCCAAAGAAAACCCTAACGAGTCTCAGAAATTCTTGCACATTCTCCGGCAACGGGCTCTGTGTCAACGCTTTCACAAGGTACCCGAAGTCGTAAGCGCTGTGAAAAGTGACCCACCAAACGGCGTCGTTGCACACCAGCCCCGACGACATCATCAGTTCAGCGAAACGCGCCGTGTCGACACCGTTTTCGCGGTTCTTTTCGAAATCAATGCCCTGCCGGCGAAGTAGCTCGATGGAGTCCGGCGCATGGGGGTCACGCGCGACGTCGAAGTCGCGGAAATTGAACTCCCATATAAAGAGGTCGTCGGTTCCGAGGTTTGGGAGGTTTCCGTCGCGGTTCGAGAGCGTAAGACCGACTTGGATCAGGTTCAGACGGTCCACGTTGGCTTTCAGTACGGCATAGTTGTTTTCCCTTTGCCGAAAACCGGGGTCGGAGCGGATAACGACACCGGGAAATTCAGTGTCCATGGATATGCGAGGGTGTGTTTCGATGACGGAGCGAATGAGTTGAAACTCCGATTCGAGATTGGAAGACCAAACCGATCGCGTTACGATGGAACGATGCGGGAGAAGCATAGTTGCTGAGATCGGAATCTTTTAGAACTGATAATCGCTTTTTCCTCTCTTCTCTTTCTCACAATTTGGATTTTGAAGAAGAAAAGCACGAAAGTAAGGGGAACCATGTAACCACCTTTATAACGTTTTGGATCCAAGATTTTTATTACATCATTGATTGGAACTTCTCTTGCAAAGATACGGTGGATCGTTGCATTTATGAATAACTAAAAACAAATATTCTCTAACACGCTAGCTAAATAGAAAATCACTTATTTGATTTTCAGAAAGATATGAAAAATATTCACTTTGTTGTTACCAATAATTATTTATTTATTTTATTTTTAGTAATTATTTATGTTAAATATTAATTTAACCAATTATGAATAATTTATATCTTTTTTATTTTATTCCATTTTTAACAATTCAAATAAAATATGTTGTTTTAAAATTAGTTCTCATCTATTATATTTGAAAATAAAATTTATTTCATGCAATAAATTATAATAATAACAACCAATGTATTTTACCCCAAGTAATTTAAATACAAACTAACATAATTGAATCTTACTTTCTTCTCAGTTTACTTTCTTAGATAAATATTTTTTTCATCAAATAAATATTTTTTATTTTTAATAATAATCCAAATTAATATATCACGTCAAACTCATTATTTAAAATAAAAATCTATTTAGTTAATTCATTCATACATCATAAAAGTGAATGTTCAGGTTAAAAGATAAAAATTTATCTTAGAGATAGAAAATTAAAAGGAAAAATAATATCTAAAAAAAGAAATCGGCATAAAAGAATTTTAAAAATAAAAACCTATCCCTTTTTTATAGCAAATAGGAATATTTTTATTTCCTTTTTAAGTTCCTTCCTTCAAAGTGGTTCTATCATCTCAGCGTTGAAAATTGTAGAAGCTAAAAGATAATGCTCACAAGCAACTTTAGATGCGAACTGTGCGATAAAATTTAGAAAATAAAATATATTAAAATAATATTTTAAAAAATAAGATTAAGAAAAGATTGAAACCTTTAAAAAAAAAAACCTAAATAAAAATGAATGACGTAATTAGATAATTCTTATATTAACTGTCATGACAAATAAATTAAAATAAAATATTTTTGGTATGAAGAAATTTAACTAAGGAGATATAATTATCTAAACTTTATTTTGACCATATTTATAATTAATGTGAAATCTCGTCAGAAATATATGCTGATAATAATCAAATCTTTAATTATATCTTACAAGGATGTGATAATCTAATATTAAGATAATATGTAATTAACATTTAACAGTTAAATTGATTAAAAACGTTTTATATAAATTAATAATCTAATATTAGTATAATTTTTGGACAGATGCTTTTAATCTTTTATTACTTTTTAAGTTTTTTTAATATTTTAAATATATTTATGAAATTGTTCTTTCTTAAGTCACTACTAAAAAAACTCTCTTTGAGTTGTAAAAAAAGATTAACAAAAAAGTAAAATCAACCATGATTTTGGATATGAATTTAGTAACTGCGTTGTCCCGTTAAGTGATTTTACATTTTTGTTTAAATTCATAAATTTTTGCTTAAACGAAAATATAAAATTTTACCTAAATACATGGTACAGTTTCTGCGTAACAGCACCGAATCTTGATCCCATGATTTTATTCATGTTATTTTAAGAATGAATTTTTATAATAAAAATTATTTTTATTTTTGTCTGTTTGATCATTCGTCTAATATTATTTTTTTAACTTTCTATCTTTTTCGTTGTAACATAAATTCATTATAAAAAAAAATATTTCTTATTTTAGTAAGGTTAATTTAAAAAAAAAACAGTGAGAGGAAGAATGAATTATTTTATAATAAAAAATAGACTTAAATTTTTTTAATAAGCGATTATGACATAATAAAAATATATATTTAGTGAGTTTTTAATATTACTGATCCAAGTATTGAAAATCACATAATAAAGTTATAATTTTGAATAAAGTCTTACTATTTATTAATTTTTGTTATGTTCTTTTGGACACACGTCAAAAAATTATATAATATTACAAGGATAAAAAAAACTCATCTAAACTAACAATACATGTGTATTTTTTAAAAAAGATTAAATATTTTAAAAATTCTTATAAAATATTTTTAAAATATTTTTCTCAAGAATTAGACTAAGGTATAATACCTAAAAATAATTGAAATGAGATAAGTTCAGCCCACTTTGCTGACATGGGATATAAATTTTAACATAAGTTACAAAATTAAAATGATATGAAACTAAAATTAAGGTATAGTTAGAGAATATATGTAAAAACAAGTAGTATAATTTTATGCCAAATACTTTAAATGAATACAACATGGAAAACAAAATACATAACACCACGCCAAACCAAATTAGTTGTCAGATTGGGGGAAATTGTTGAGATGAAATCTTAAAAGCAAAGTTTGTGGACCGAAATTGAGCCGAGTTTCAATAACCAAGATACTTTTCTGTTTTCTTTAGGTATCTCTGACATCGTTGAATGATTTGATATGTTCCTTTAAGTATCAATAATTACGCTCTACAAAGATTATTCTTTTACTTTTAATATTTGAAATAAAATAAACTGATTTTGTTCTCCTAAAACTGTATCTTCAATCTCAGTGCTAACTACATGCCATTCTGAACATCTAAATGCTAATTTTGTGTTGAAGTGTACGGAATCAAATTGATGCTTTTACATAACATACTGTGTTATTTAATTTTAAGGACTAACTATGACTTTAATTAATAAAAGACTTAAGAGTTATTTGAAGGTCTAAATCTCACATATTTACGCTCTACAAGGTTTTCTTTTAAAACAAAATATCGCTTCGTAAATCCTCAAAAAAATCTCAAACAAAACCAAATAAGTTACGAATAGGGAAGGAGAGCACCCGCCCGAAATTAGCAAAATGGGTTTCTTAAAGCATGGAGAACTACTTAGATCCAAAGGTTGGGATGCAGGGAATAATTGCAAAACACTCTCACTCACAAAGAAAAAGATTAAAATTTCGTTTTCATACCTAAAAAACTTATGTTTTGTTATCTTTTATTCTTTATTCTTAGAAAAATGCATTTACGTGAAGAGTAATATTTATTAATGGTATCATTACGTCCAAGCCTAAATCGTAATAAAACACTCATTTCAGAGACAAAAATATCAGTTTTTTTTATACAATAAAAAAAGTGTCTAATATAAAAACTAAATATGTATTATATATAAAAATGACGGGCGAGAACCCACGATAAAGAATAGAAAGACGTAACACATCATATTAAGCTCGGGAAGTTTTCCTAAAAATGAGGATCGGGTTTTGACATCAGGGAGAAGCAAACACAACCAAAGACAAGGCACACATCCACAAGGCCATTGCCAGTTTTCCACATGCAGTGAGAGCATCTTTGCAATTAGAAGGGTAAATACTAGTTGAAGAGTTGCTTCCAAAATATTTGACACACAATATTTTAATCAAACAGCGTCCCTTCAGCACAGTTGACAAAGTAAGATAATAAAACAACTCTGAAACCATGGAGATGGAAATATGAAGCTTTTTGGGGGCATTCCCCTATATGTTCTTGAATTCAGAAGGATCCACAAAGCATTACACACTATATATTGCATACAGCATATGCAATATGTTCCGACATCTATACCATCTTGGATGCTAAAAGTAGGTACCTTCGGGAGGCTGGACAAGCTTCCTGTTATGAGGAGCCGCCATTTCCTTCTTCAGCTGGGTCAGAATATCCTCCATGGTGTACTCTCTTTGCCAATTTGCAAGAAGACCAAATTTCTTTGGTTCAACCTGTTTCATTTACAAGTCTATATAAATCTCACCACAGATAATCAGTCATTAAGCTCAACCTGTGTTTTCAGATCAAGTAAAAATGAAATGTATCCCATTTGGAAAAAGCACAAATCAAACTTGACTACATCTCCAATAACAGTAACAGACATCTCAAGTTAAGCAATTGTAAAATCAAAGTCGAAAAACACTGTTATTAGCACAGTTTATATATCACAAAATAACATGCAATGCAAATAAATATTTATAAAATGAAAGCATGAGAAAAGCTACAAATGATACCACTCCAGTTTCGTGATTAACGCAAGTCATATTGATCCGTGAATGAAACCGAACGCTTGGGGGCTTTTCTGGGTAGTCTTTATCACAAAACAGCTTCAGTTGATAAATTCTTCCTTCATGTACAGTCTGACAGATAAATGGTAAAAAAGAACACAACTTTAGAACCTGCAAGCAGCTCTTTAACTATACACAAAATGAAACCAAGTATACAGAAAAGATAAACTTTCCCCAAATTTTTTAATTAAGGATGGACAAATTTTCATACTCCAGACTTCATTAATAAAGTTACGCCACCATGCAATACAAAATTGGAATAATAACAATTCCAATTATAATTTAATAGCTCTCGATATTATGCTCAATACAGACCCAAAACAATAGCCAATGCACATGTACATATACACACAGGTTTTGGCTCCTGAGAATTTATCCAACTTCTTAAATTTGGAAACAAAACCAGGCCAACACAATTTTCGGCTCACCCTCTATTTCATTGTTCATACTTCTCTATCACAACTTGCAGGTCTCATTCTTTTTTTCTACTCGGTTACACCACTCTCAACCACTCACTGCATAGCTTTTTTGTGAATTTTTTTTAATAGAAAATAGCTAACTAATTATAATTCTCCTTAATATTGTGTAGTATAAATTATTTATGTTGGATCTATAATCTTTGGAGTAGCAATCAACCAGCTATTTGATATCCCACTATAGCATTTTTGGGGCCACCCTCTTTCTGCTGCTATCTAGGATTGATAACTATGATTCGAAACAGATGCACAAATGAAAGTACAGCAGTAACTGAAGAATATTTACATTGTGGGGGCCAATAATGGTGCCAGTCCAAGAGCGCATGTATATGTCATCCCCATCATCCATTCCATAGCTAACTGTGCCATCTCCAATACCTTTTTCTCCGCGTTCAAGTTCCTCCAGCAATCTGAAGTTCCTTGGAACTGCATTAAGTGTACAAATATTTAAGAAAACACACTCAATTTTCAAATAAGTTAGAAATAAACATTTTTTATTTCAATCACACAATGTAACTAGCCATTGCATGATCCAAGTATGACAAGAATGCCTACATGTATCAATAAACGATATATTCAGCCCCACAGACAGAACCTTCTGTTTTCACAAGGCATCTAGAAAGAAGTTCAGATTTGCAGTATCTTTTAGGATAAACATGTGCCATAAGCAAAACATTAGCTAGCAACAAGAACCATCAGAAGTGATAAAATAAAAACAGCAAGTGACAAAGGCTTTCTTTTCATCCATACAAATAGATACATCTTCACTTTAAATCTCTTCAGTGTTTACCATCCATGCATTTTCTTATCGCAGAGATCAGTTACTTAACTAAAGCAAACTCTATGTAAGAATACTTCGACCACAAATGCGATTTGTTACACAACCGCGCATGCAAAATCCGTACAAGGATTAACTACCATTTCCAGCCATCACTCTCAACCCCACGAACTAAATTCAAAATACATGCATCACTTGAAAGTTCAAACACATTTATCCTCATGTTGGCTTAGTAAACTTTACTGCATGTTATTCCAGAAACATCATCGGAACATTGCTTCAGCAGAAAAAACAAAGAAACAAAGAATTACAGCTACAAACAGCCAATAAACAACGGTAGCAACGAAATATAAAAATCCAACAAAACTAGAATAATCTCCTGACCATAATTAACATGAATAAATATTAAGAAAATTGAATGAAATTTCGATTAACTTGGTCATAAAAAATATATACAAAAAACAAAAACATTATTTATTGTAATAAACGCCATGGACCAAAAACTCCCAGGTAAGAAACCGCAGTCACCGATCCGAAGTTCCACCGAGATAAAACGAAACAAAAAGAAAAACCCCCCAAAAACACAAATAAAAGTAAATAAAAAAAAGCGAACAAGAATGTTTTAGGTCAACGGCATCGAGTGAAGAACAAAATCCAAAGACCCAGAAAGAAATGATTGTTAAAAAAGGTGTGAGAAAGAAAACGGCGTCGTTAATAAGCGAAGAGAAACATGAGGTGATGAATTAGGGACTAACCCACGACACTGGATCCTGCTGAGCCAAGCGTCATGGATGGGTGAAAGAGGGGTTTGGTGAGGTGGGTGTTGCGGATCTGATGGAAAGAGTGGAAAATATTAAGCTCGAAGAGGGTCGCGGAGAGGAAGGAGAATCTGCGTGACGGAATGCAGAGAGAGTGTGGGAATAAAGATGGAAAATGAGGGATTTGGTGGAATTATGAAAGTAGAGAAGATTTTCACAATGACCAATGGACATTGTTCCTCTCAGGTTTTATTTTATCTATGGACCCAAGGGCCCATTCTATTTTGGCCCACTGTTTTATTATTCAATATTTTCAAATAAAATAATTACTTGTAATTCATGATAAGTAATCGACCACAGTCGACGTATACGATAATCTGTGTTTATATAAATAAATATTTGTTTAGTTATTTATAAGCTGACTGAAGTTAGGAAGATTCTTCAAAGAAGAGCCATGTGGTAACACGGATAGTGTTCAAGTAAACAGTTTAATTAAAAATTCAATGAGATAAAAATATTAAGAGAGTCACTCAATATTTTATAATTTTTTAACGAGTTCTTAATGACATTAAATAAAAATACAATAATAGTAAATTTTTATTGTAAATCACGTAATATTATTAAATTTAATACATTAATAATATATCATCATATGCTTTGAGCGTGTATTAAATTAATAAGTTTTTATAATTTTTAAGTAGTTTTTTAATATTTAATTAATTTTAATGACATTATTTTAAACCATTAAATATGATTAATGTAAATTTATAAATTATTTTAAATGACATATTCATTAAAACGTATTTTTTTTTTCAAACGTGTCATTTTTTAAAATTTTAAAACAAATTGAGCTTAGAGTCTAGTTGGCTTACCTCATGGACAGAGAATAAAATAAATTTATCATTTTATATCATTAATAAAATATTAATATTAGTTTTAAAAATGATAATTTTTATGAAAAATATTTATTATACTAAAATTATAATATGTAATAACTATATTTAAAAAATTACTTTAAACACTTAAAACCAGTCTTAAAATATGATGTAAGGAGTGTCAAATGAATAGATTAAATAAATATTGAATCAAATTATAATGGATGTATAACGGATTTTAATTTTCAAGACTCTTAATTATTTTAGTACTGTTAATTGTTTTTTAATATTTTATATCTAATAAATACGTTTCTAATAATTAAAATTAAAAGACTAAATATAAATCAACTAAAAATATATCATGATTTTAGCAACAAAATATATATTTAAGATTTTAACTATAAAAAATTTCAAGTACTAAAAAAATTAAACAAATTTTTTTCTATATTTCTCTATTTATTGTTTTATTACCTAATTTAAAAGGAAAATATTCCTTCTTTCAGTTTTCATCCATTGTAAAGATTGATTTCCACATTTCAACTTTTATTGTATTTAATCACAAAATATATAGATAGTTTTTTTATATGTTTATATATTTTTTAAAAATTTATCACTTAATCCAAAAAAAAATTCCAACTTTTATTTTCTTTTCTCCAAGGTTAATTTTTTTTTTCTTTAGAAGTGTTATGGACACACAAAAATATTTTTATTTTATTTTGTTGCTCTTTAAACAGTTTTTTAAAAAAATAAAAAAGAAAAAAAAATACGAACAATGCATTTTTTATTTATTTTTAATATGTATCTAATGATACGTAGTAAAAACTTTTAGTTTACTTACCCAACACTAAACGATAAAAGTTTTATTAATTTTTTATTATATATCATTAGAGAGATTAAAATCGATATTTTTAAAATTTTTTACTTGTTTTATTGCTTTTGAATAATTTTTAATATATTATTTGTAATACATATTTTATTATTTATTAAAAAGTATGTGAATTTCATTTTTTTAGCTTTTAAGCCAATAATAAAACAAATATTAAAAGAAATTTGTTAGAGATTATGATGATAGCATTCCTCTCTCTACGAATGATGTTCAATAACTGATGCGCTTGAAGAAGAAAATGCGTGCGTGGCACGTGACCAAGTAATTAGTAAACGCAACGCATAGGCTACTTTTCTTCATCTCCACTTCAGCCTCCATCACAACGCAGTTACTGATGCTATCGATGCTTCCTCCGATTCTAGCTTTTAGGTTAACAATACCATTGCAAAATTCCTTCGCACCTTTCCTATTTCCTACCATTCTTAATCGCTGCTCGCTACGCACCGTTTCGATCTCCACCGACTTCACTCGTAAACTCGGGAGCTTCGAAGACGAACGTAGCAGAGGCTCTAGTGCACTTCGGCAATTCTAGGAGGTTCGATTCGTCACTCTTCTGTTGCATCCTTCACACTGTTAATCACCTCACTGAAACACTTTAATCATATTTTCATGCCTTTAAGTTAGGGTTTTTGGTTACTCTCGTTATTCATGCATTCCACGTGTTCGACGAAATTCCCGTTCTAACGTTTCTTCTTGTTTTTGTCTTTATGAAGGACGAACGTGTACTCGGGTTCGTGTTAAATGTGATGTTTGATATTGTAATCTTGCCGATGTCACTGTATATTGGTAATCTGTCGGAACATTCTCGAAGGGACGAACTCGAGCGTGTTTTCCGTCGATTTGGACACTGTAATGTTCAACTAAAGAGAGATGGATATGGCTTTGTAGTGTTCGATTTTCCTCCGGATGCGGAAAAGGCTCTGCGAGCTCTGAAAGGTAGAAATATATGTGGGGAACCACTGACTATTACGTGGTCCAATAAGCAGCCTAATGTGCAGTTTTCGAGATTTGCTAGGGGTGGTAGAAGAAATGCGAATGAGTTGCATCGTGGGAGGAACTCTGATAGAGTTGGCTTTGCAAGAAGGAAAGTGGGTTTCAATGGATGGCAGAATCATAAGATGGGAGGGGGAAAATCCATTGAAATGCCTGGGGAAGAGAGGGGATATCAACAAGATGATTCTAAAGATTATGTTGGGAAAGAAAAGGATTACGGGGGAGACTTTCCTGATGAAGGTGGTGGAGTTGTTCCTGACCTCGAGGACAATGGTAGGTGGGGCGAACCAGTTCATGACCCCTCAGTTGATGATGGGAATGGAAATGCTATAGAATTTGATCGATACGAACCTTATCAGGGCCGTGACAGGAAGCATGACAATGAAGATTATCATGTAGGTTATTCTGGTGGTTCTCCCGGGGCTAATTCCCAAGAGAATGTCGGCAGAGTGCAGATTGGCAAGGATGCCTCAAATCGTCCAAATGACTCTAAATTCCAGCAAACTTGTTATAGATGTGGTGAGCCAGGTCATAAAATGCGAAATTGTCCAAAAGAACATTCTTCACAGAGAAAATATCACAGGTTTGATGTTCAGCAGAATAATAAAATAGGAAAAAAGCATAAAGGTGAAAATGAGAATAAATTTGGGTCTGGTTCCTGGACAAAGCTGCATTCCAGTGGGGATGCTTTATCATTGAGGCACCGGAGAGATGAGCGGAGGGTGTCTGCTTCACGACGTCATGTTGCAGAATCAAGAGATGAAACATCCCCTGCAACAAGGGAAACTGATATGCATCAAAAAAGGGAGTATGGAGGAAAGAAGCGAAGCAGAAATGGAAGAGAATCGCCTGAAAGATCTCGGGCAAAGATATCAAAGAAGTTTGTCACACCCTCTTTGCCTTCAAATTACTCTACTTCATATTCTCTTTCCCATTCTCGATCATCCAAGTCATTGCCTAGGTCTAGTTCCCGTTCTAGATCAAGAACGGTTTCTTCCAGGGCTCGCACTTCATCTTCAAAGTTACGGTCTTCCTCAAAATCTCAGTATTGTAAAGGCAAAAGCTTGAATTCTAGGAGGTCACGCTCTCCTACATCTTTGTCTGTATCACTTAATCAACCTTTGTCACTGTCTCCCAATAAAATCCAGTTGAATTCAAGAGGCTCACCCATTAATGGTACTGCTCGTGAATCTGTGGATCGTTTGGTTGCACAGGGACAACAAATTGGCAATACAACAGACTTGGAGAATCTTCAATCCAAGGATACAGGTATTGCTGTAAATGGAAAACCCAAAGTGTTCACCACAGCAATGGACTGTGTGGAAAAGGACCTATTTGTACAGGAGGACAATAATGAAGATTGTATTTTCTTAAAATCATCAGATGGAGTAACAAATTTAACTGAACCATTTGTTGCTGGGGATTTATCTCCTCCGATAGTAAAAGAGACAACGGGTCTTGGGGATTCTGGAACATCGATGTTGAGTGATATTCAAACAGAAATTCAGAAGCCTTCTTCTGAAATTCATGTTAACCCCCACTCTGACCTTTCAACCATCGTAAGCACAGAAGAGATGTGCACTGTTCTGAATAACTATGGCCTGGAACTTCCAAAAGATGATGAAAAAAATTTAACAATGAATGCCTTCTTTGGTTGTGCTCGGTTGTGGCCTTGGCATATTATTTATTATCGTAGGTTGAAGAAAGGCCCAATTTCAACTGAGAACTATGCCAGGCGGGTTGCTCAGAATCAGGAATTTGGCATTGTTGATAAGTATATAAGAAGCAGTAGTGGATGGGGAGAATTCAGTCTTGAGATATCTTAATTAATAGTTCATACTGCTACAGATGATGCTCCATTGGTAAATTTATCCTCGTAGGAGTTGGGTATCTATGTTCTATGATGTCTTTTCCGCATGGATCTCAATGGACTTCAAATGTGATTACTCAGTAATGATTGCAGAAAAGTTTGCTCAGGTAATTATGCAAATCATACTATAACTCATCATATTGCTTTGCCTAGTTGCAGTCTCTGCTCAATTATTGTACAATGCCATCCTATAAATGATAGCATTTATAACAATGGTAGTATGCTGAATGTTTGAATGAAGCTACAGATTCTGGAATGGCAGGAATCTCCACTGTTTTTATTAGTGCTCTGTTTGTTTTCCGTGCTTGCTTATGAGAAGTGGGCGGGGGGATAAAGAGCTCTTGTGTGACTAAAAGTATAGGATAATATAAGAAGCGCAACTGAACACATTATATAATAATAAAATAATATATATAATCATTAAATAACATGTTCTGAACTTGAAACTACAAGTCCTAATCCAGTATGTTCATCTGAAAATACAAAATATATTTATATTCTATTTTCCTCATCCAGTATGTTCCGTTTCTATCTAGTTGTTTTAAATTATTACCTATAATGATTATATTGGTTTCACTCGCTGTTCTTTACTTTTTAGTTTATTACTGGTATATTATATTTTTTATTTTGTCATGGCTGCTATCAGGTTTGAGTAATGAAGTACATGCAGCCACCCACACACTTTGCATAACTTCGTGATATTGTTATCAATTCCAGATCATGCTGTGGAACAGCCAGTCCCAAAATCACTATAGCAGGATATATGTGAGATGACTGGTATTTTGAAAATTATAAATACAAGTTAAATAATTTATACTACACATACACCAAATTAAAGACATTTATAATTAATAGTCAAAAATCAGCTGTAGGCTAAACACACAAGGTAACAACATAAGTCACAGAACACAAAAAACAAGCAGAACAGAAGCCTGAAATTAGAAAAAACAAAACTAAGATCTTTTTGAAAATTATTCAAACATGTTGAGACCAGATGTGGGGCTACCTTGCTACTCTGAACACACCACAAAATGAAACAAAGAATAGAAAAAACATACTACACATGCTGAAGGAAGAAAAAGAAAAATAGAGTCCTCTCTGAATAGCTGATGATCTGAACATAACAGAAAGCAGAAGAAGGTTTTGCTGTGATGTGTGAAGTGAGGCTTGCCCAGAAACACTGCTGGAGAGCCGGGTCATTGGCTGGAAAGTGTCATACTTAGTTGAGCTTTTTGGTCTCAACTCTCAAATACGAGCGAGAGAATTTAGTCTCCAATCACAATCCCAGGTTTTCTGGTTTAAAACATGGGGAAGTGGCAAAAGTAAAACAAAAATGGCCTCAACGATGTGCATAATAGAGTGATTTAATATGGGAATTTGGCTGTGAGTGTGAACAAATATTGGCTGCAGGTGCCACAATTTTCTAGGATAGTGGCAATTTGTGATCGTAACTCCCAACTAGAGGCCTGATGTTGCTTCATGACAATCCTTTGCAATGCTATGGTGCACTTTTGATAACCATGCTTTCGATTAACCTAATATCAAACTTATATAACAAACACTACCTCAATCAGCCAAGGGATTTGCAACTAGAGACGTGGTTTAGTATTGGCCTTAAGCAGTTAAGAGATTTGTAACAAGAGAGTGAAGAGACACTATTTAGTATGAGCAGTAAGTGGTTGGTGATAGATAATTAGTGATTAAAAAAGTATGTTATTTGGTTAGTAGGATTGATTAGGTAACATGTGTTTAGACATAATCTTTGGTTCTGGGGACAATTCACAAGTTGACTTCGACTAGTGGATATTGCAAGTAAAAAGCAAACGTAGAAAGGGAAAAAAGAAAAGTAAATAAAAAAAAAGCTTGTAATATGTCATTTATATAGATTCCATATTAGCTTTTAAAGCTTTTGAAGAATTGAAGGTTAGGATGAGCAGAAAGAGTGAGGAAGTTGAGGGGTAGAGACTGCAAGGAGGAATCACTGTATAATTGTAAATGCTGTATAGGGAAGAGGACTATAATGTTGTGATTTGTTAATGCTGTGAGATGAAGATGGCCACTCTGCATGAATTTTGCTAAGGATAAAGCGACTACAGAACTTAATTAACCGAGCCTTTTTATGATGTGGGCAGTGCTGGTGGGCCACTTGAGCTGAGTCCAAGCCACATCTAGTCATGTTGAAGCTCTTTCTAACACCAAGAAGACAGAAAAACTGAGCACATCCCTGACATGTGTCCATCTGTAATGCTAGCACACTGATGTTGAATAGTGTCCAACACCAGTATGTTGAGCTTCTTGCCATGTTTGTGGCTTCCTAGGGTATCAGTATAGCACTTTCCAATTTTATGTTAAAAAAGTGTAGGGTCCACAATTATAATCATATAAATACGAATTTTTAACTTATTATTATTCTGGAAATTTGGCTCTGCAGTATTTATAATTTTTTGAGTTTTAATTACCCTTTTCAATCTACTGTCTGTCTTTCTGCTGCAGAAATCCATGAATTGTGAACTTTCTGTTCATAGAGTAGACTCTTAAGCCTCTTGCCATTCAATAGCTGTTTAACAATATTGTAGAAAGCCATAAAAATAGAAAAAAAGATCATAGAAAACCATGCTTCTGATGTCAATTAACATACAAAGCAAGCACCAAGTTACCTTTTTTTAAATAGCAAAAAAAAAAAGTTAATATGTAATTCTTTCTTGGTCTGTGTGAAATGGAAAACTCCTTTTACAGCCAGAATATATCTTAATGAAATTTAGCCATTCCTGAAATCTCCAAGATTTTTATTGGAACTATATCTGATGATATTCATCTTTAAGCATTGGATCAGTTGTAATTTCCAGTTGCTGCATTTTGGATTTTCCATTATGTGAAAAAGTTATGATCTTCAAAAAACTTTGATTGTTTATTGATCCACTTAGGAAACTGTCTATTACATGAATATGAGTTTTAAAAACTCTTTCTTTCCTTTCTAGGGTTGCACAGGGGAGATTAATTTAGGAAATGCAGGATTTTGTGCAGAACAACTTGTGGAGGGACCTTTTGAAGAAAGCATTCTTTAACTCTTTCGCACATGTTAATCTTTGAACTTGAAACATTTTGACTTTTTGCACCACTTGAGTCTTCAACTACTTTTGTAAGTGATTGACGGCAGATTTGAATCCTCTCCTGTTGTGGTACCGTCCCGTGGGAGAGAGATAGAAATGGGTTTTCTTGTGCTGGTAGCATGATGGTTTATGGGATACATTGATTATATTAAAAACTCTGTATTTATTGCTGTAGTTGCACTCTTTCCTTGTTATTTAACAAAAGGAGAATCAAGATCTATCGTTAATTTGTCAGTTCACACCTTGATAAATTGAAGGTTGACAAAAATATATCGAAATAGTGCCAAGCGATATATCTTCAACTGCATGTTGATAAGTTGAAACAAATACCTATGCTGAACATTGGTAGATTGTTGAGTCTGGTTGGGCTCTATGTCAATAGGTCACAATGAAGTTTCGAAGTAATTCATTGTTCGAGTGGGACACTATACACCCAGTAAGTAGATTTTTGACAAAAAAACAGATGGTTGGGTCCTCTAAACATGTTGACTAGAGTTTAATTCTTGACTGTGCGTTTGGTAAATGCTTTATTGTAGGGATTGTGCACATCACCTCGTATCCTTTGCGCATAAAATAAAATAATATAAAAAATGGAAGCACTTCATGGATAAGCCTTCATTTCATATATAATATTAACTCCCTTGAAATTTAGACGTACAATTTGCTCTCATCCCTAATAAATATGGTGTGTCATATATTCTGATCGATGAAGTGATGCCTTGTTTGTTTCCTTGCAAAATATGGACGTGCATTTATGAAAATTAAGGAAGCATTTAGTGAGCTTTTATGGTTGCAGGTTGGTTGTGTCATGGAGGAAACGGTGATGCTCATAATCTTAGATTATTCGATTGACTGGTAGACTAGCTGTTCAATTTCTTTTTTGAGGACGGTGGGTTTTGGATTAAACAGAGTCACAGTTGCAGATCTTTGTGTAAATATTGATTTCGGGTGTATGGACAATCTAGGGGGAGGTAGAAGTCAGATTGGAATGACTCATCCATGTTGGTTAATTCTTGCTTTGATCAACTAGGCGCATGGATATGGAAGGCGGAACGTGCAATTATTGACTAGTGTATTATCTGAATAAACGGTAATTATAAAACAACTATAACCTTATAAGGATGATAATAGAGCTTTTTGCATATTGCTCAATAACATTTAACGCATGGTTGGGAGGGTCTTTTTTTAGAGATTATCCTTTTTTAATATGTTCTACCTAAAAGTTGGAACAACGGTTATTTTGTTTTAAATAAACTGATTGTCAATTAAACACACATGCATCCCAGAAAATAAAATTATAATTGGAAATTCTTGTGGATATCAATTACCAGCTATTCTGTTACAACTTATGAGCCTTGGACGTGTTCCAGCCTGCGATTCTGGGACTTGACTGAATTTTCTCGTATTGGTGACATGTTAAATGCATTGATATTCCTTCTTTTGAACCCATCTCTTGGCTTTGTTTGGTAGTTGATTAGGAAGGACAGGAATGGTTAGTCCTGTGATGTTGATTTTTCCTTGTTTGGTGTCACTTTCATAAATGAAAGGAGAGTAGTTTTCTGTGGGGCTCACTAAAATTTGTTACATGATATTTTTCACAAATTAGAGAGACGGGGTGAGGAAGGACAGCGAGTGTTTCTTTTTTCCTTGTCTTTCCCTGCTTAACAAATGTTTAGATATTTCAATTAATTTCATTTTGTAAATAAAAGATAATAAAATAGTTCGATACTCTTTTTATTAAGGACATTAATTAAGTAATTTATAAATTTTTTTTTAATTAGAAATCATTAAAGATGACGGGTGAGTTAATAACATTTTTTGACAGTTAGATGCAATAAATTAGGTGTTCTTGGTATTCTTTTCTTAGTAAAAATTGAGTTTCACTTCAAAGTTGGACCTTTAATATCAACATTTAGTATATTAGTTATCAACTTAAAATATAAATTTTAATTTGAGAACAGCATGGAGATTACTTAAGGGACTACATGTAAATTTTGTTCATTTTTTCAGGATTTTCTTATCATTTAGTTTTAATAACATTTGTTAACATTCTCTTTTGAGTAAATAGAAGTTGTTATTAGATGATACTAGCTATAATCCTAAATATATAATTCTTTTAACTACTTCATAAGAATTTTAAAAACGTAGTTAAATTAATTATTAAACTTATTAATAATTTTTTAAAATAGGATTAATTGTACTTTTTTCTTTAACTTAATTTATAAGAAAAAATTAATGTGAGAAATAACTTGCAAAGAATTTTATAAATGAATCATGATAAATTCTAAAAAAAAGCTTATATTTGAGATTGGATGTAATACACTCTTTGGTTCTTTTTATAAAGAATGAAATAGAAAATTTTTATTGTCTTAATTATAAGAAATATAGAATAAATTTGAGATGTATTAGTTGTTAAATTTTTTTATACTCTTCTTTTATTATTAAATGTATATTTATGCGGTAATAATTATTTGTGTGATTAAATATATGAATTATTAACTACTTTGTTTAATATTTTAAATATTTTTAAAATAAAATTTATATTTATTAAAAATATAGTTGATTTAATTGTTTTCCTTAATCTTAATAATTTTAGTTTATTTATTTTTTATAAAAAGGACCAACGAATATAAAATAAGAGATTGGAGATTACTTTTCTCTTCACTTTTAAATCTTTTACCTTTAATTCTTGTTGAGCATTGCCCCTCTCCCTCAGTAGTGAACCTTTTGTCAAATTGCACTTATATTGATGATGCCTTGCTGGGGTTTGCATGAATCTGATTTAAGAGTGAATATCAATTAAACACAGAAGAATTGAAGTAAAGGAGAAATGAGCGGTACGTGAAACAAAAACGGATGCAGGCATGTGGATGAGTGTGGGCGATTCAATATTATTTTTTATTTTTCTTGGGGGGTAGGGTTCAAGGGATGTGTGGGCTTTTAGTTGAAAAACATGTAAATGTAGGTGTAATCTAAAGAGAAAGGATCATCAATTAAGCGAGAGAAAATGGATGGAAAAAGATGGGCATTTATCATCTGAACAAAATATCTCCCTCATTATTCTCAACCGCCTCAATTACTCTTGCATTTATGTGATTTAAATGGTCTTAATAGAGTCGCCTTTTTTTTTCAATGCTCGGAACTACCCAACCCACCTCTACTCTCCTCAATTCACTGAATTGATTATCCTTCTCTTTCAAAACTACGATCATTTTTATATACTACGCACATGACTTTCATGCTCTCATTATACATTTATTCTTGTAGATTATGGTTGTATTAGGCCTATAATATATTACTATATTGTTGTAGAAAAATTAGCCATTCCACTACCTTAGATAACGTCAGAGATACTACACGAAGTTGGCAAACTGGTTTTTTAAGTTGTTAGCAGCCAATGTGCTAGAAAGTCAACTTCAGTAAAATCTTAAGGAATTTTTTTTATTGTAAAATTTTATTAAGAATTTTGTATGACAAGAATATCAAGATCTTTTTTAAGTTTCTAGATAGATATTTATAAAGAAATAAAACGACTGAACTTTAAGAGATACAAAAACTAATCTTGACTTATAGATAAGAGACAGAGAAATTTATTGAAATAAATTATCTGGTGCCATTTGTTACCAACACTCAAAATGCTTAGTATTATTTTTACTAAGATTTGATATTAGTTAATCGTGGAGAAAAGTTACGTGTGAAGCATGATGAGGTCCACATGCGTCAGTGTTAAACCTCGCAGGTGGTCAGTGGTGGGAACTGAGCTGTAAACATCGGTTAGGTTGGTCTACCATGCATCATGATTCATGAGTTTTACAACAACCAAGTGGGCCTTCCAATCTATTTTGACTGCTAACAAAGTACAGAAGATCTACCTGCTCTCGCACAATAAACTTCCGATGCTCCTACTTTTATCACTCCCAGTTCCAACCCTTTTTAAATTATGTTGGTGGCTAACAATAACGACCTGCTTGCTTTGTTGGATGAAACAGTAATATCATTCATAAATAAAATCTAAGGTTCATTTCCACCTAAAATCTCAAATAACCAAACTACGAGGGCACCTGAACCCAGTCCCAGCTCCTACCCACATTCTCAAATTTCCCAGTAACTTAATTTCTTTCTATATATAACTAGAACAGTGCTATTTACGCTCCACTCTATCTGCATACTTTGACTAATGTTGTTATTTCCTCACTAAGTGGAGCAAAGACAGGTAAAAAGTGGAGCGCACGTAGCACTACTCATAAAAGGGTAAATAAATAACAGAGAATTTTTTTTTGAAAAAGATGGGATAAAAGCATGATCTCCAAAAGCGGATTCCTAGGTTAAAAGCTAACATGTCCTACTTGCAGTAGAGAATGCAGAACTGGCAACAGGGTAATCTACAACTCTATCCCCTCCTTATGTTGTTGTTGTTGTCTTCATGGAGGAAATCAAGCAAAACGGTGCTTTTGCATTTGGGGCATTTGGGATCATCCTCAGAAAGCATCACATACATGAGACAGCGAGGGCAACCTACGAGGACCATGGAAGTGGCTTCAGGGCTGTTAGAGTATTTGAGGTTGTTGTTGCTGTTGTCCTCTTGGTTGAGCTCAGTGGAGACACAAGAGCTTGGTGGTGATGTTGGTGACACCGTAGCTGATCGAGTTGGCGACTCTAGTCTACGGTCAACAACCCTTGGTGGGGATAGGTTCAACTTCAAGTCAAGCTTTGGACCGCTTCCATTTCTGCCATTCATGGTTTTTGCCTCTTCTTTTTGCAAAAACAAGTTACCTGTTTTGACACAAACCGTTAGCCACAAAAGGTAAAAGAAACACAAAAAGGGTCCCAAAAAAATCAATGAATTTCAAAAGAGACTGCTCAAAAAAATAAAAAAAGAAAAGGGTCACTCACTTGTGTTGTAAGTTATGTATCTTAAAAAGGGTTGAAAAGAGCTCCAAGTTGTGTCTAAAGCTAATTCAGTGTGTGGAGGAGAAAAGGGTCAATTGAGAGGGAGAAAGTGGAAGCATAACAAGCTCCGGCACCAGCAGAGTGATCTGTGTTGAGGGGATGGAGCTTGGAGGGCATTTTATATAAGGAAATTGAAGGGGGTGATTTAAAGCATAATTAAATTGTGGGAGAGAGGTGGAGGAGGGTATAGGGTGAAGTGAGAGGAGAGAGAAAGAAAGTGATGGAACTGAATTGAATTGAATTGTTGGGTAGAAGAAGAGTGTAAATTGTGGCCAGGAAATGTATTAATTGTTTGGAAAAATCCCAAGAAGTATGCAGAAAGGGGAAATTTGCAGTAAATATTGCAATTACAAAGTGCAGGGTGAGGGCCTTTCTTCATTCATTGCTTATATGAGAGTCGGTGTTTAAGAGTCTCAGAACAATACAGCCCGAGAGATCACACAAGGCTTTTAAAGCTAAACCCATATTTAAAATACAAAAATCCAACCACACCAACAAAATTTAATAGCAAGCAACAAATGCTGTTTTAACTAGCAGCAGTTGATAACCAAGTGTGACCTCAAATTTAAATATTCAACAGCACCCCCAAGAAAAGTAAAACAAACTAAATGAATTAGGACAATGGATATAAATTTTATTTAACGTTTTAGATACAAAATTTGATCTTCTTCTCTTACTCTTATACTGTACAAGAATGCCAGACTCATAGTAGGTAGAAGTACCCTTCACTTTGACTCTTCAAGGGGAATCAGAAAGTGGAATTTTTTTTCATTTGCATTGAGGAATTCAGGAGGGGTTTCGGTCTGGCTTGTTTAAACCTTGTGGATAAATCTAACTAAGCATGTAGTTTAGTGAATGGATTTCTCATGGTCTGAATCTATGTTCTTTAGTTTTCTTGCTTTGGGAAGTACAAGACATGTGTTCATCGTCCGACAGACATTAAAGGATCTCATTGTGTTTTATCATGGGGACCAATGGACCATTGATTGTTCATTAAAACATTATCGCCATAGCCAAAAAATGAATGCTTATTTTTTGTCAATTTTATTCGTGATTTGTTAATGCATCAAGAACATGCTGTTATGATGCTATGGAGCATTTACTAGAGTCCAACTCCATTTATGCCCACCATTGCTGCCTTTGCTTCCTCAAATTTGTGGCTTTCTCATGCTCTTATTCTATATAATTTTTATTATGTGCAATTTTATACGGATTAAAATTAAAATTGCTAATAAAATATGAAAAATTACTTGGAAACAGGTTGTTGATTTTCCATTTAAGGAAATTTGCAGTTTGGTTAACGTGGCATAGGTTCATGAAACATGCTTTAAATGATGTGGTTTTGTTCATTATATCTGGACAACAATCCCATTCTCCTTCAGCTTTTTCAGCCTCATATCGATGACAGATAGATAAATAAGATCATCTGAGGGTAACTCTTCATTTCAACCACATAACCACCCTTGAACTCTATGAACATGCTAAACCCAAACATAAATAATCCTCAATCACGGTACCTATTTATACTCTCAAGTTAATGAACTTAAAATTTTATTTGATGTTAAATTGGAGTATACTAATTTTATGATGATTTAATCTTTTTGTGTGCTATTCCATAACAAATTACACAGATCGTAATTTATTTAGCTTTAAATTTGAATTCTTTTAAGTTAATTATCTGCATATATTTTTTAATTTCAAGCATTTTGACCATATTTTTTAAGATTCTAAATAAATTTTTGCATATATCTTTTTATAATTTTAACAACTTTTTCCTCAGCATATTTTTGCATGTAATGTATGAAATACTGGTAATATTATATACATTTATGAATCTTTATAACATTTTGTATATAAAGTATGATATAAAAAATGTGTTTAATATCTTAAAATATATGAATTATTTGTTATTTTTATTTAATAAATAAGAAAATGTTAAATAAGGATATTTTAAATTGTTCCAAATAATTTAAATTGAATCGTCATGAGTGGAGAGAATGACTAAAACTACCCTTTATCTGTAGTGGTACATACATCAACGTTAAAAATCTCGATTTTTGTTAGTATTCGATGAGTGTATTTTAATAAGTGTTGTTGTAGCATCGATTTTTTATCTCCTTTTTCTTTTAAAATATTTAATTAAATATAAAAAAAATTATAGAAATCTTATTCTAAAGAGTCAAACTTACAGTAATCAATGGTAACTTAAGAGTTAAGAATAATGTATGTACTTCCTTTCAACGTTAAATCTACGTTTTTTTTAATGAACAATCATGATGTTAAATAATATAACATGAAAATTACTATGACACATGTGCAGGAGAGGGATTTTAATGGAAGGAATAAAATAAATGTTTAATTTAATTTAAAAATAAAAATTAAATAAATTTATTTATTATTTAAATATATATTAAATTACAAATAATTTTATCTATTTTTTTAAAATCCCTCCAAATTCTTCACTTTTGAAAAATAAATAAAAGTTGAGTGAAGAGAAATTTTACCCCTTCTCTTTGTCTTTTATATAAAAAAAATATTAAACTAAACATTAAAAAATCTTTAAAATTTACTAAAGTGAAAAACATCTTACCTATACGGCACACGTGGATAATTTATGTCAAAGTCCTCTTATTTTGTCTTTTATTTTTAATTTATTAATGGGCTTAGTTCCTTCCAAATCACGTGAAATGGTGACATAAGTATGAAAACTTTTCCCAATGTTAAGACCGTACTGAATCTAAGGTACAAGTAGTGCCTGTGGAAGGTACGGATTTAAAATAAAAAATCAAATTATTATAATAATAAAATTAATTATAAAAGCATTAATAAAAAGAATTTACTTGTCTCACAGTCACAGTGTATTTTAACATCTTCGGATGAACGGTGAAATAAAAAACTAAAAGATATAACATAAAATTAATTATGTAGATGAAGAAAGTTATATTCTTATATTAATTTTAGAAAATAAATTTAGCTTATAAAAATTTGTTTTTTATTATATCATTTTTTCTCAACATAACTTTTTTATTATTTTTAAAAAATTTAAAAAATTTTAAAATCCAACAGCCCCATTCCCCCAATTTTATGTTGGGTGGGAAATTTTTTTGGAGGGACACACTACACCTATTTTTTTGTTTTTATCTTTTTCAATCCATTTGAACAAATTAAATACTCTATTTATTTCCCATTTATCTCTCAACTTTTTCCCTCAAATTTCTTATCTATTGGCATCAATATTTTTTTTTGTCTATATTCATAAATATATTAAATTTTAATTACTTTGAGATAATATGTATATAATCATTTTTAAAAATAAAATTATTAATATGAATCAAGTTAGGTGAATTTATATGGTTATATTATTAAGAATTTTTATTTATTTATCAGACTTTGTCCTAATATTTTAAACGCGCAAATCAAATTCTTTATTACTTTAACCAACATACATTGATAAAGATTATTAAAAATAGTGAATATAAGAAAATAACTTAAATATAATAAGATACTAAATTATTGTAAAATAAATTAAGATAAATTAAAAAGTGTGCCATTTCATTAATAATAAATTCACAATATTCAAGGATAAATAATTAAGATAATAAATTAATAAAATTAAATAAAAATAAAAATAAATAGAATCCTAATTTTATCTATTTCCTTTAAACTTCTTTTTTATCTCATTCACATGTATTTTTTTCACATCTTCTTTTTGGCATCCACTAGAGATATTTAATATTTATTATTATTATTTTTATACATTAAATATTTAAATTTCATGATCAATAAACCCCCAGACATCTAATTGCTACTAATGTATTTTATCAGTAATTTTGACCAAAAAAAGTTATTTGTTAATTTTGTAAGTAGCATCTTTAAAATATGACTAATGCTAATTAATGCTGTAAAAATATGGATTAAGAACTTTAAAATAATTTTTTATTAAAAATTATTATTAATAAATCTCTTGTAGTAATTTTAAATGCAATCTAGCGTTTTTTTTTTCAATAAAAATGTTTACTTTTTAAATTTCTTAATCGATGTCTTAATTTGAAGTGGTTTTAAAATAGCTTTTTGAATATGTATTTAAAGATATATGTCAAGAAATTATGAAACAAATAAATTATATTGAAAATTATAATTATAATAATTATAATAATTAATGTTATATATATATATATATATATATATATATATATTATGTCGTTGAACACATTAAAAATTTTGTTAAGAAAATCCAAATGAAAGTCAATTGTGGATATGATGTGATTGTAAAGATTTCTAAAATCTTAAAACTGCAATTGTGTAATTACTATTGGAGACTGAAATTTAAAATCCAACTAATTGGTGTGATGTTGAGCAAGTACACAACAGTTATATCGACCATTCATTTATGAGAATATGAAGGGTTCTTCCATGGCAAAAAGAGCAGTAATATCTCACTACCTTTGTCTCGAAATAAATAACTTCATCTTATAATAATCAAAGTGTAAGATAGGCAGGTGCAAGTGTGCAACAATATTTATTGTCTTAAAATACCTTTGCTCTACTTCTTGAAGAACAAGCACAATGTAGAAACCCAAGGAGCTTATTTCCTTAGCCAGCCATAGAAATTCATGTGACTTTATTAATTAAGGGTTTTATTAATTTTGATTTTAAGAATTGAATTTAAGTATTTAAAATAATAAATTTTATTAACAAATATTTATTACATTAAAACTATAAAATTATTATTATTAGTTGCTTATATTTAATTATAAAGAATGAGGTTAAATAAGATTTTATTCACTATTAATTTAATTTTAATAGATTTAAATACTATTTTGATCTCTTATAAAATAAAACTCACTATTAAAACAAATTGAAAGAAATTTATAACTTCATTACAAGTTATAAAGGATAATTTCCTAAATTTAAACAATGTCATTATAGTCTAATATTGTTACGAAGATTGTTGTGAGAAAATAATGTTTAAGAGTGGAGTAAAAAGTGTTTTAATATTTAATGTACATTAGGCATTTTTAAGAGATTATTTGAGGATAAAATTTACATGTATCATAAATACTTTTAACGTTATTTTTAATTAAAAAATAATTTTTTTTAAATTTAGTGTCAACTTTTAATATTAACGTTTATTACGTTAGTTATTGAGTTTTTTAATTTTAATTGGAGAATAATACTAGAAGAGAAGATAAATATTTTAAGCTCTTGTATGCAAAGAAGCCTTTAAATATTATATAAATGAAATAACAGCAGCAGATGTAACACAACGATGGTGGTGAGTGTAGTTAATCGCAGGCGAGGCCGTACTCTTTGGAGATTGAGAAATTAAGGTGAGGTGGTCTAATCCAACAATGAATTCATCAATTCACATTTTGTTTACACTCAAAATTTGTGCATCAGAGGAGACAACACCTGTGGGGTGTCTTGGAATCTGAACAA